TTTGGGGGGGGGTAGGGAGGAGAGAGAGAGAGAGGGCTGCGAATACTGCCTGCCTGCGTCGTGTGAATACCGGTATGAGTATGAATATGAATATGAATATGAATATGCTGCACAAGAGTTGCCACATGCACCGAGTAGACGTCTGTGTGCGTGCGTGCGCTGGGCCGGCTCCTACCTTCTAGAGCAGCTCGCAGAAAGCGGCTGAGTGAGAGAGAGTTAGTGAGTGAGTGGTGTTTAATAACCACCTCCGACGAGCCGCACGACCATCTCCCCTCGCACTTAGTCTAGGGAATCTTTTAGGCTGCGTCTGGCTTGCTCGCTGTCTGGCGCGCGTGGTGGGAATGTATGCTTGAAAAAATGGGCTTTCTTATGCAGCTAGCTAGCAGCTATGTTTGTGCTACTTTGCCGTGGGGGATCTCGTGTTGTTGTTGTTGTTGTTGTTGTTGTTGTTGTTGAGTGTTTTGTAGCCCGTGTAAGCGAGAACGAGGAAGGATTTCGGATTCCGGAAAAGACTTTTCCACTTCGGGTGGCTTTCTCGATGATGGTGACTACGGGCGCAATAGAGAAAAGCACACTCATGCTGTGTACTACAGTAGATTGTTAGAGGCTCTTGGCTAGTTGGTTGGAATTGAGACCTCAGTCAGTCTGGTGCAGTTACTTTGGTAATCCAATACGGCTCAGCGAGAGTAGCGGTCAACTCGGTCAGGTGAGTCAACCCAGTCAGGTCAGAAAGGTGGCCTGGCCTGACTTTTCCGTTGGCTACTCTCCGTTTGTATCGGTAGCTAGGTATGTAGGTAGCTACGATTTCACTTAGTCAGATGCATGCAAAACCAACTGAAGACACTCACACAACTGGATACGTATTCAACTTTGCATCACACACCCCTGTGATACCGACATAGCTGATATCAATCAGTGTTCTCTGCCTCCCTCTGAAGAGTAGTACTCGAGTGCAAATAAAATACGGCAACGATTTCAACGCCTGATTAAAAGCGATGGAGAAAGGTACTACCGCTCATCCCGTGCCCCAGACACTATAGCCCCATCCACCCCCTTCTCTCCTCACCACACCCACCCTCGGCCCCTTCCCACCAACCGCATCGCTCTCTCAAAAGAGATCCTCGACCTTGTCAACGGCCCTCCCAGCCCTCCGACCCTCAAAGTGGGCCGCCACAAGCCCAGCAACGCTCAGCCGCGCCTGCACCTCTCCCGCCTCGCCTCCTCTCACCGCCAGGCCAGCCAGCACCACCAACACGATACCCAGAAGCGCCAGCGAGAGGTTAGCAAGCAGGAGGCACGTCAGGGGCGCCACCGGTACCCTCGCCACCAGCATCGTGATCCGCGTCTGGGAAGCGACGGCCGGCTGCGCGACGAAGGCCGCGGACGCGACGCCCAGCGCGGCCTGGCTGTACGTCAAGGCAAAGTGATCCGCGACGCCCTGCGCGGTGGTGCTCACAGAGGCCGCGATCGAGGCGCCCTGGACGAGGCTCGGGTCCCCGACGCGCGTGTACTGCTGCGAGCCCTGCACGATGTTGGTGAGCGTGCGGTTGGCCGGGGTCGTGTCGAAGCTCGTCACGGTCCCGTTGAGGGAGACGTAGGCTACGTCGTAGACGCTCGTGTTGCAGAAGACGACGAAGAGGTCCGCGCCGTGCGTCGTGCGCAGGATTTCGGCATCCGCTGAGAGGACCGGGCCGTGTCCGAGGTTCTGATTCACCACGCCGATGGCCGCGAAGTAGTACGGGTTGGCCAGGTCGGTGGCTCCGGTGTAGTTGGAGGCCGCAGAGGAGTTGGTGAAGTAGGTCATCTTGAACTGGTTCTGGAAGCCGGTGTTGGAGTCGGTGGATAGACGCCCTTCCATAGCGAACGGGCATTTGTAGGAGAAGCCTGCGCCGTATATGTTCTCGGGGTCGATACATTTAGTGGTTATGGGCGCGCACTGCGTCTTCAGAGACCAGGAGTGGGACTTGTAGTCTACGGATGCTAGAGCGGCTCTCGGAGGAGTGCCGACGTAGGTGAACACACCCGAGCCGGAATTCAAAGTGTTGATGCGCATTGTCGCTGACAAGTTTGACACCACTTCCTGGGCCTGGGCTCCGTTGATAAGAAACTGTGCTGTTGCGGCACTGTTCAATGTACAGCCTCCTTGGAAAGTCCTATTGACATTATAGCACGCGGGAAGTAGGCCGACGCTGGTGTTGTGGCTGTTGGTTACCGGATAGACTTGGCTCAGATTGACGGATTTGGTTGTGAAGTGAAACCAAGTATCCGCTGCGAACACCAGAGTACTGTGGCCTGGGATCAGATATAGCCTCCTCGATTGACTTGAGATTCGAAATGCGTACGCACCTAAGAGCCAATGCAAGGACCAGAATCACAGTCATCAGCTTCATCGGCTTTCCCTGCATCTCCTTCTTTCCCCTCCAGCCCCAAGCATACTGCAGCCAGTTCCAGAGTGCCATCGGGCCACCACTCGCGATCATCTTAAGCATCAATCCCAACTGCCATGGCGTCGGCAACTCCTGTGTGCTGCCCCTCTCCCCGGCTTTCAGGATCTGCTCCGAGACCGGATACGAGATCAAAGTAATAGCACTTCCCACCAAGATAGGAGCGACGGTAGATGACCACGATGCGACGGTTGTGAGCGTCGTCGCGCTGATATCGACGTAAATCACATTTTGCTCTGCGGTAGAGCTCCCAAGCCGAAGTTCGGGGACCGAGTAGTCAGTTGAATCTACCTGGTAGTAGAAGACGAGGCCGAGAAGTAACGCGGAAAAGAGGGACATTGGTATCGTCATGAGGAAGAAAGCGAGGAGGATCTCGCTTGTACGACCACCCATGCGCAGTTGTATTAGCCGCCTTGAAAGAGAGATGTTTGGAATGCCCGAGTAGACGGCATGGTATTGCGTCTTGTCCATCGTAAGAAGGGATTCTGGTACTGCGATGGAAGAGGGAATGGGAAGAAGCACTTCACCGTCGCCTTCGTGGTTTGGAGTGCCAGCCCGTCCCGAGCCTGGAAAACAGGCTGCGAGCGGCTGAGGCTCAGCTGAATATCCGTACGTGCACCACAGCTAATGGACGAGTTTCCGCCCCCAGCTGAGTAACATTGAGCGATAATTTTTTTCCAAGAATCGAGGCTTCTGGCTGCAACCCCCTTCCTTACCTTTCTCGCAACCTCTCCCAGCTAGTTTTGACACGGTCAACGATCAACGCTCGTCGCCCGACAAGCTCGCCTATCCCCTAAAAGACCAAAACAACATCAGCAGCAACGCATTTAAATCAACCTGACCAGCCAGCACCCATCAAACTCGCCAAAGCAGACAGCCAGAGTAGCCTCTTACAGATACGATAATAGTATATAGCCTCGCATAATATACTAGCAAATGCCAATAGCAAAAAAATCCCCATCAAGGGGCAGGGCGAAGAGAGACAGGCGTAGGTAGGTACATCATATGCAACAACAGTGGATACGCGCGCTGCTAGTCAATCCACTTACCCAACAGCCACTCTCATCCGCCCAGTTCTCTGCAGTCTGTAATCGTACGTGATACCCTGGGCTGTGTTGAGGGTAATTTCAGCTCATGTGCGAGACGATGGAGGAAAGCATGCATTTCGTCTTGAGTAATGAGAACATAGTTATATGCTTCTCGCTGCTTCTAAGCTGGTTAATTGACTACCTCTACGTGGGTGTCGCTGACTCGTGTACTAGCTCTGGTATGGCTTCGGCTCAGCAGCATAAAGTGATAGAGGCAGCGAGAAGGGATCCCGAAACGCGTGGCCGGATAGGCTTTGGATAATACTTTTTCAGGCTCTGAGATCTTGAGAAGGACAGGTAGATTTGACATAAATCCGAGAAGTGAAGTCTCAAATAACAGATAGAAGGAGACACGAGAAGTTTTACTTGAGAATATTTAGGAAGGAGAGATACCTGTTACATACGCGCAGCCGATAACTCGAACACTGCCACGATCATCAAAGCCGACTCCTCTTTTTACCCCTTGGTCCCATAAACGTACATTCCGCGTCACTTTACCCACATCTATTTAGCAAAGTGTAGGTCATAGCCCAGCCACTTTCTAGCGTTGACTTGATCCACGTCTAGGCCTGGAGTTCCATACGTGAGAGGCAGGAACCAGTACCAACTTCCGATGACGAGCGTGAGGATGACTCCTACTGCCGCCCAGGAAACCATCAGGTTTTGGCCAACGAGCTTCTCGCGCGCTGGAAGGTACTTCTTGGCTTTCTTACTTCCCGGGGCGTCGTCAACGAGTGGCTCCACGCTAAAAACAAACTCGAGCAGGGCTCCTGTTACGAGGGTGGAAGCGAGATGGGCCGGCAGATAGTGATGAAGGAAAAGTTGACGGCCCATGACATAGAAGGGAAGGTAATGGGTCGCCCATGCAATGAAAAAGAAACCGGTGGAGTTGTACAGACGAGATCGGGCGCCTGTGTTTGTTAGCAATTGAAGCCACCAAATAGCCATGTGACTTACGGAGATCCAATGCGTCAACACCACGGCGGAGAGACAATTGATCAGCGGCAATGATACCAGCATAAACAGCGAGAAGACTGCTTGCTAACCACCAACCGATAGGATTTCCAAGGAAGTAAATCTGCTTGCGGGTATCGGTTTGGGTCCAGAAACTGACACCGCGTAACAAAAACGGCCAGACGAAAGGCTCACTGGCATATGGATGGCTGCTAGTCAGAGCATTATTGTGGTAGAACATAGCTCTCTGCAACTCGAACCATTTCCTGAAGAAGGGAAGACTTTTGACTTTGCGCTCTTCCTTGATCAAACGTGGGCTATCGGCAGGGATAGAAGGGATCGAGTCAACAAACCATACGTTGGAGGCTTGGGCCAGGTTCTTGTTGCCATTGATCTCTTGTTGCTTGTAGGCCCAGTCCGGGAGAGGCGTAGAGTGGGTCCACATGGCAACCTTACTTGGGTTGTGAATGAGCTTGAATTGTCCAGAGAGACTTTTGAACTCCTGGTTTAGTCTACCATTTTCGATTCGGATCTCGAAGAGGGTATCGTTGTAGCGCTCACCCAGGGCCTCGTCCATCGGGACGGTGGTAAACTCCTGGTTGGTGGGGTAGTATGGAGAAGCAACGTCGTGGGACAAAAGCATGGTGTCAGTGACCACATGGCGGAGCCTGACAATGTCGTTGTTTCTGACGGGTATTCCAAGTGTCTCCTGGCTGTGTAGTGGAAGGATTTGCCAATGGTTGTTGGCGTCGGCGAATGGATACCCGGTGACTTGCTGGCCTTGGCTGGAGACTCTCCCGTCGTCATATCTGAGAGGATATTTGTCAGGGTGACTGTGGAGGAATCCTGAGGTCTCCTTGTGCTTGATTTGGATGTTGTCCATAAATTCAATAGTGATCGCATTGGCCAACATGTTGTTGTCGCTTAAAGTCTCCTGGAATTCGGGGGACATGAAGTCGTCACCGGGACCGGATCGGTTCAGAATCGCAAAGTGAACCTGGAACCAGAACAGGTAGAAGAAGAAGGGAGCGACGATCAAAGCAAATGTTCGCGCAGCAAAATGCTTTCCAAAATCTGGAAGGCTAAGCGCTCCTTGGCGGCGCTTGATGTCCAGCAGATCCCAGAGGTCGATCGCAACTGCCACTCCGATGGTTACGAAGGAAAATGTTCCAATATATTTGATCGACATGATGCAGCTGAGGGAGAATCCAGTAAGGAGCAACCACTTCCACCACTTGCGCCCGAAAGGTTCGTGTCTGAGCTTATAGAACTTGACGTAGCACAAAAGACTGCAGGCCATGGCAAATATAAGTCCAGCATCGAGCAGGATGAGGCGAGTTTGTCCAATGTGTGCGTTATCGAAGAGGACAAGGCATGCCGAAAGGATACAAGCTGGAAGGGTGTAGCCCGATTCCCACATAATGGCGAATACCACCGGCACAGTCAGAGCTCCGAGAAAGGCTGGCATAGCACGGTATGCCACGTATGGGACCTTATTTTGGACGTATGAGTCGCCGATGTTTTCGAAATGGAAGTGGCCGTCGTATCCAACGAACCAACCCATCAGGGCGAACAGAAGCTTTCCCAGCGGAGGGTGGACATCGAAGAAATATGTTCGTTCGAGATAGTAAGAGGCAAACTATCGACGCGTTTTTTTTTTCAGCAGGATATTCATGGGGAGTGTAATTTGGAGATCTGTACCTTGCCGAAATGAACCTCGTCGAAGACGACCTCGTTTGGATGGCTGATGCCCCAGAATCTCGTCATCAAGGCCAGTATTGTGAGGACCGAGATCGCAATCCGGTAGTCCCATTCAACAGCTGGTGGCTTGCTGGCCAGATTGGCCTGGATTAAGGCGTCGAGGTCGACATCTCGAGGGGCTGCAATGCCATTCGAGGAAACATCCTTTGCTTTGGGGGTAGTGGTGACGGGCACGTCTTTCCGCTTCCGCACCGAGCCTTGTCCCTGTGCGCCAGACATGGCGGTGGAAATCAATCAGATTGACTCCAGAAGCTATTTAGCAGAGATATGGTTAGTTGAAGCCTTTCGAAGAGAGCTCAAAAAGAGGTCTGGAGATGTGTTCGGTGACACCGACGCAAATACTACAGCTGAGCAAAGCTGACGAAAGTTAATCGTGTCCTTCTTCCGGAGCCGTTTGGCTAGCGCGAACCCTTCTGCAGGGGGAGTAGGTACGTAAGTACTTACTACTACGTAGGAGTGGGCAGTCCAAGGGATTGGGGCTGACTTCCTCAAGAAACTCCCACTGCGGATTGAAAGTTTCCTGGGTAGGTAGATCTTCAGCAGGGTGGCTTTCTCAACGATCCCATCCGACGTCCTACGGTACTGACTTTAACGGCTTCAACGGTGCCAAAATCGATGATGAAATAAACTTAGGCTCACGTGATTCTTACTTCTGCCAGGATTTCTTCAAGCTCATCCCAACTCAACCCTCACAATGTCTCCCGCCTTCCCGCCCTCCCCCCCAAAAAACTTAAGATGGCAGCCGTCCGAACATCGTTTCCGGCATTGTTCAGGCACGGCAACCGGAGCTTAAGCTCCTATCCCGGTCAGCTCACAAGAGGCTTCAGAGCTTCAGCTCGACTCATGTCCGATATCACTCCTATTCTCACCAAGAATGCTATGACTCGTTAGTGTATCTTCTTCAGAGCAAAGTCGAGTTTTAATCGAGTTTTGACTGACGATGTTACAGCCGTCGGTCCATATGTGAGATGCTCTTCGGCCTACCTCGCTTATCAATTCTGAAATGTAGCAGTCGCAAGCCATCAAGACTCCTCATGCAATCTACTGCTCGGGCCAGCTTCCGGCAGACGCCCAAGGTAATATCGTGGAAGGCTCCGTAGGTGAACGCACCGCCGCCGTCTTGAAAGCGCTCTCGGCCGTCCTCGAGGAAGCTGGCTCGTCCCTGGACAAGATCGTCAAGGCACAGATCTTCTTGACAGACATGAAGGATTTTGCAGAGATGAATGCTGAGTACGAGAAGTGGATTAAGCACCAACCGGCTAGGAGCTGTGTAGCAGTGCATCAGCTACCGAAGGGTGTAAATATTGAGATTGAGTGTGTGGCATTGCCCTAGTTGAAGCCTCTATAGAACAAAGCAGCAGAACCTCCCTCAATATTTCTACGTCTGTCTCAACTCTCACCATTCTCTCACTTCTCCCCCCGGCCCAATAAACCCCGGGGAAACCCACGGCTCGGCATCCTGGGCCAACCTCCTCACCATCTCCTCGTCAATTTCAACTCCCAGCCCCGGCCCACCCATCAATGCAATATAACCACCCCTCACATCCCACACCTCGGGATTCTTCGTATAGCTTGTCAAGTCCTGCGTTCCCGCATTATAATGAATCCCCAAACTCATCTCCTGGATCGCAAAGTTCGCCGAACAAGCATCAACCTGCACGCAGGCAGCAAGCGCAATAGGTCCCAGTGGACAATGCGGCGCCAACGCGACATCATAAGTCTCGCACATCGTCGCTATACGCCTCAGCTCGGAGATACCGCCCACATGGCAGACGTCCGGCTGCAGGATATCCACCGTGCCAGACTCAAGGTAGGGCTTTACGTCCCACCGGCTGTGGAGACGCTCGCCTAAAGCGATGGGCGTGGAGGTGTGTTGCGCGAGGTTTTTGACCCCTTCGATGTTCTCGGAGAGCAAGGGCTCCTCAATGAACATTGGTCGGTGCGGCTCTAGCAGTTTTGCGAGTTGCTTGGCCATAGGCTTGTGGACCCTGCCGTGGAAGTCGATGCCGGCGTCCATGCCGAGGCTTTTGACGGCCTTGAGCCTTTCGACGCAGGAGTCCAAGGCGGAGGGGGAGTCCATCCAGCCGATGTCTTCGGTGGCGTTCATCTTGACTGCTTTGAACCCTTGCGCTTGTCGACCTTTGCTATCACCGTTTAGTTTTTGCGGGTCGGTCTCGGAGAAGCGAGACAATACGCACGCTTGGATCTCAACGTCGTCGGGTCGGTCGCCGCCAATCCAGGCATATACCTTCAGCGCGTCTCTTACCTTTCCTCCCAGCAGCTGGTAGATCGGCACGCCTAGTCTCCTAGCTTTGAGGTCCCAAAGCGCGATATCAATCTGCAACAAACACTGTCAAACACGCCTCCCAAAAAAGCTGACATATCTCAATACTGACGCCGGAAAGTGCACTCATCATGACCGGCCCGCCTCGATAGAACCCAAATCGATATATCAACTGCCAGATATGTTCAATGTCGCTAGGTAGATCATCAGTTGATGTCTTCCCTCTCCTCTAGATTTCATTTCACTGACTCGGCGTCTAACCCAACAATGCGAGCCCTATACGCGTCCAAACACCCCTCCACAGCCTGCACACAGTTATTAAAAGTCATCCGCTTCTCAACGGCCTCGTGAATCATACCTGCGTATGTCCCTCTAGTGACGCCTCGCCCCAGCCCACTTTCGCTTCCTCATCAGTAATCTTGACGAACAGCCATCGAGGCGGAAGTCGAAAATACTCGACGGACTTGATCTTCGCCATGATTATGGGCAATAAACTCTGTTTACTTGGTGACGACTCGGAAAGATATAAAATTAAGCTCCAGTGAGTTTTGTAGTCACTTACCTTAAATCATGTGGGGTGCTGAGAGCTTGAGCTCGGGTAGGATTCCCCCGAGGGCACTTATTACTGCATTAGCTGGCGAACAAGCATGAGAGAAGTCTGGGGTAGCTGGGAGAGAGCCGGTTAGGCATTTACTACGTAGGTGTAAGTGTTGTCAGAAAGTAAATTTCATGAATCTATGACGGTGCATGGAAATTGCTGAAGTTTCTTCCGACTGAAGGGGATAAGAAGTTGGCCGCACGTCTTGCTTTCGCGTCGCCTATATGTAAATCAAAACAAGACGAAGAAATCACGGCAATTGTTGTATGTAGAGAGAGAGCACCGTTATATTTTACAGAATCTCTAGCTTCAGGGTAGCGTGGATTTTTTTTGGTGTGGATTTTTCTTGGACTTTGCATTCCCTAACTGGAGTTGGAGCTCTACTAGCCTTAAATCTATGCCTCCTAGACCCTGCGGATACTTGTGAAATTGAAGGCATTTCCTATGGCAAAACATATACGTCGTTTCAGGTGTTGAGAGCTGGAAGGTGGCGATATGATCCGGATAAACCTTCTGCCGAGTGGTTAGTTATCGATTGATTGATTAGCATGCATCTCACTCGGGCCATCTTCTCGAGACAAAACAGAACAAAACTATGCCAGCACTCTCCATCAACACCTCGCCCAAGGCCACACGTCCTGATGGACATTCCCCCCACTCAACTGCAAAGTCGCGCTCCACCTCGCCCGCGCGACCACCAGTTTCCCCCATCACCCCAACGCGCAGACCAGTACAGCCGGCCCTGAGGCAAACATTCGTCCACTCGCAGCCCCCCCAAGTCGCCGTACCCTTACCCGCGCCCGAGCCCATCAAGTTCGACGAGAACCCCGACGTTCTCGCGACGAAAGCCGCGCTGTCAATACTATTGATGCAGAGGCGCATCGCCGAGGAAGATATCAAGTCCCTGCAACGCACGAAGGAGCGGGGGATGGCGGACCCGGAGGAATTCCTGCGCGCTCTGCAAGCTGGGGAGATCAAGCAGAAGGGGGACGCGTTCATGGGCGTGGCGCCTGACGACGATGACGAGGATGAAGATATGGAGCCCCTAGAGCAGGATACCAAGGATAGCAAAGCGTGGGAGAAGCTGCCGAAGCAGCAAAACGTCGTGCGTCTACCGCATATCAACTGGGATCAGTATGCGGTGGTGGGGGACTCTTTGGAGAAGCTCCATGCGGATCAGCTGCAAAATCCGCCGGAGGGATCGCCGCAGCTGCTGGGGCCGGATGGGCTGCTGAGTGCTTCGGCGTTTGGATCTGTGCCGGTTACGCCTGCTAGGGAGAAAATGGAGAAGATGGGGACGAGGAAGGGAGGGAAGAGATAATGGGCTGGTTTTTGAGCTTTGTTTACTGCGTGGGATACGAGCTTGATATAGATGGGGAGTGGCGTTTTGAGAGCTTATGACATGACGACCGGGACGGGTACTCCGTTTGGGCACTGCTTGGAGTTGGAGGCTGCATTCTAGGAGTCCAGGTGTAAAGGTAGTGAACACTTGACCAAGAAGCTACAGGTCTGGTTCTCCGCGTAGTTAAAAGTCCTGCTCTGTTGTTCATACCTCTTGGTCAGGAGATTCTGAGCTGTTCACTCAAGTGATAAGAATGAGGCGTAGTCTTCGAACTGAAGTTCGGAAAATATAGTTATGGTATCGAGTACAAACCTCGAGACCGAGAGCGTGAACCAAGTGACTGTGACACGGGACTCGCCCACATGAGGCTCGTAAAGTCAACAAATATGTATCTGGAACATGGCTGTCACCTTTGAATTCTACTCTAGCAGACGGAAAAATACAGGCAGAGCCAGGAAAATTTCCGAGGAGATACCAAATAGATAGCTCCATATGCCTGGAGTTAGTAACCAGTCTTTTGATCAAGGACTTCATCGAGCTGTCCGGCTCAATGTACGCCGTCAATATCCGGGGGCACTTCGGGTACATCCGTATAAGCGGGAATCAAGGGGTCGGCCGGATTAACATCTCGGGAAGATTATTCGGGTATTGTGAAACCTCACTCAACTGATCTTGTAGATATTCGCGTCGCGTGAACGGGATCTGCTCTGGTTCTCAACCTGAATTCTAAACCGTGCCATTGTCACCAGTTGTGGTGGGCCCGGAGAGGGCGAAGTTGTGCGCCTCAATAGGCAATGTAAACTCCCCTTGTCTGTATTCTGGTTGCTGGGAGGACCATCACTGATTGTAGAGCTTATAGCAACAAGTAACTATCACTTCCATGTATTACGACGTTCATTCACAACGACGAGGACTTCCTGTCTCTTTCCTTTCTCTTAGTTTCCTTTTCGACTTGCTTTCTGTCTTTCGACTCTCAGAGTCTCGTAGCCTTGTGGGGAGAAGTTTTAATTCTAAGCCACGGCCTCCTCAAGGCAGCTTCCAGACCTCACTCCTATACACCTAGTACCTTACCGCTCTTCAATGTTCAACACGGAGTAGAGGTGAGTTGCTCTATTCGTTGGTGCCTGGAATTAGGTCATCGATGCCTGGAGACTCTTCACTGACGAGGTATCGTGGGCCAGCCAGAATTTTGAAGGTTGTTGAACATCGTCAGAACCACAAGAGCCTCCACCAACAACACAACACCTCACACTCCAATCTGGCACACTCAAAATGGAGGATAGTCCCCTGAGACCTTCGCAGGTCACTCAGCCAGGTACTGCCAATTCTTCTTCAATTGCTTTGCCTTCTTCTCCTCTGTTTCCAGACCCCTCCTCCCCCGCCAATCCTCAAGATAACTTCGCTGACGACCCATACTGGGTAGCCACTCAGATCGTAACTGATCCCAGACGACTCGGACAAGCAGGATCAGGCCTGAGCAGCGAGGACCTCGGAGATATCATCTGCATCCTGCATCCCACGACCCAGGCTGCCTCTCGCGCCGCAGCCCTCATCCATGAAGACCCCAACGCCCACCCTGGGTGCACTCTCGTGAGCGCGAACAATGTGGAGATGCGAGTGAAAGGCTCTAAAGATACTGCAAAAGATACATCCTATCAATTGGCTGCTGAAGGACTGGTACTGTGTGATCTCGTTCTGCGCCTGTCGGCCCCACTCAAGGACCCATTAGGCGGCTTCCAGTTTGGACGGAGCCCATCGCGCTGCGATTTTGTCCTGGGAAAAGATCAAGCTTCGAAAAGAATCAGCAATATTCACTTCAGAATATACCTGAACGAGCATGGCTACCTGATGCTGGAGGACCAGTCCACGAACGGTACTGCGGTCGATGGCGCCCTGTTGCGTGGGAAGGAGAAGGAAAACAACAAACAACATCGACGTACACTCGAACATGGCTCTGTCATTACCCTTGCGATGACTCCGCCAGAACAAGATTATCAATTCATGGTTCGGATTCCTCCGCGAGACCAGGCTAGTGAACAGGAGCTATGGTCCCAAAATCTCAGAGCCTTCATCCTTCACACGGCCAACTTGCGCATGCATAAGGAAGCTCGCATCGCAGCTGGTGGTCTAGAAAAGAAAGGACCTGTATGTTGACACCCTGCAATGTGTCCCAATATATTGCTAACATTCTGAAGCCCAATCTTTTCCCCACTGCGCCAGCCACCCCAGACCCGAACCTGCCATCTGGCAAGGTCATTCGAGTTTGGAAAGGAGGGCCTAAGTATAACAGACTCGAAATGATCGGAAAAGGTGCCTTTGCGGTCGTATACAAGCTCACCGACAAATACGACGGCGTACCCTATGCTGCCAAAGAACTCGAAAAGAGACGCTTTATGAAAAACGGAATACTGGATCAGAAGGTTGACAACGAGATGAAGATTATGAGAAAGATCAAACATGTGAGTCCATCCACCTCATGTACTCTCGACTTTCGACTGACCAAATGCAGCCTCATGTCGTTCAGTTCATCGAGCACGTTGACTGGGACGAGTACTTGTACATCATCATGGAGTTTATCCCTGGTGGCGATCTTGGCAGCCTGATTTCTCGTGAAGGCTACTTGCCAGAGCCGGATGTCCAGATCATGGCTAAGCAACTGCTAAGCGCCCTGAAGTACCTCCACGATGGTGGCATCACTCACCGTGATGTGAAGCCGGATAATATCCTCATTTCGACCCGCAATCCATTGCACGTCAAGCTGACCGACTTTGGATTGTCAAAGATGATCGATGGTGAGGATACTTTCCTGCGAACCTTCTGCGGCACTCTGCTCTATTGCGCCCCTGAAGTCTACTCGGAATATCGCGAGTATGATGAGACTGGCAAGAGAAGCCTGCGAGGAATGGACAAGAGATTCTTGCCACCGCAAAGATATGGCCATGCTGTCGACATCTGGTCCACTGCTGGAGTACTCTTCTATGCCCTCTGTGGTAGCCCACCTTTCCCTGTAAAGAAGAACACGAGCTACCAGGAGCTTCTGAATCAGATCATGACATGCCACCTCGATATTAGACCACTTCAACTTGCCAATGTCTCCGAGAATGGAATCCGATTTGTGAAGAGTATGCTCATCGTTCGACCTGAACAGCGTGCCACGATTGAGCAGCTCGAACAGCGCTCTTGGTTTCTCGGCGGAAACAGCTTCCAGGACTCCATGGAGAACGATGAAGTTGACCAGATCGGCGGCGACGACAGTAATTTCGAAACCCAGCTTGAGCAAGGTACATCTCAGCTTAGCATCAACCCTGAGCTAGAAGAATTCGACGACAGCCAGCTAATGATAGATGACGATCTGAGCCATCTTCTCGACGACAGCCAGGAAATGATGGATGGCGACGACATGAGCCTTCCTCTCGAGTTGCAGCCGCGTGAGATACCTAGCAGTTTTGCAAATAGTGATAGCAATTCCAGTGCAGAGACGCAGACCTATAGGATGGTTCATGGCGGCGGAAATTCGGAAGATACAGTAGGTCGCTTGTTTGGAGAGGTGAACGCGTCGGCAATCGGAAGCTCAGGCGCGCTCCCTTTGGACCACCTCCACCTCCCCTTTCAGACAACAGCAAACAACCACGGCACGGCACCAGACGATTCACAACAGTCGCGATACCTACAAGAATCTCCTGGAGATAATCATCGCGGACAAAGTCAAGGCATTCCTGCTGCTGCAACTGTACCTACCATCATGCCTCCTCCTCCCCCTCCCCCGCCCACGCCCTCGACGCGCAACCCCATCACCGCGGCGAGACACCCCGAGATTGAGGATAGAGCTGTCAGAGAATCAAGCCTGATGGGCGCGGAGGCCATGGTTGGAAATCTCAATATGCACTCTCCTGCTTCGGCCACATCCCCAGGCGCGGAGGCAATGGTCGGAAACCTCAATTCTCCTGCTTCGGCCACATTCCCAGGCACAGAAAGCCTTGCGCCGACTACAGAAGACACTCGAGAGGCTTTTGGCAGTGTGCGCCGACCCCGTGAGGAGGAAGAGGAGGACTGGGATGATGAAAGCTGGCGACCAGCAGATCTCCCAATCAAGCGTCGCAAGTCCAGCCGTCAGATCGATATGCGAATTCCACCAACCGTCTTTTGGGACCCTAGTGACAGATCTACCCACCACTACGACTATCCTTCCATGACATCCATGCAGTTCAAGAGTTACCAGGAATATGCCGAGAAGAAGGGCGAGGTGTTTGCCCATGGGCAGAATATCTTCGAGGTCACGATGCAGAGCTTCAGAAACAGTCGGAGCCCTTCGCTGGAGCCAGAGCGAGCCGCCTCCGAGCCCATCAAGGACGAAGGACGCCGTATGCTGATGAAACGTGATGAGCGCAAGCTCGAGGAGCCAAGAGGTGGCCGAGGAAAGAGTGAATCACGCACCGGTGAACATCCAGTGGCACAGGAGAACTTTATTCCATTGACCGCACACCCATTCGATACAGCATCCAAGGCCAAATCAACGACGACTCACTACGCGTTCGATTTCCCATCTGTCGGCAATGACTTCCAAGCTCCCAAGCGTATCCTCGCGAAGGCCGTGTCCACAGTTGATAGTTGCCTCGCCATCTCTCTGAATATTACGGATTCGGCTTTCTCCTGGGGTCGTGGAGAGTCAACGACCACCCGATACGCTAATGGTAAGGAAGACCGTGTTCCGAAGTACGCCTTTAAGACCATGCTCTTCAAGCCCGGATACTACAAAGACAAGCCAGCTCCTCTGGACACCACGCACGTTTGGAACCAGCGAGACACGGACATGAGCTTCTACATCTCGACCAAGGCCACGCTTGGCATCTGGGTCAACGGTGCTCATATTCCTGGCCACGATCTCCAGCACCCGAATGCGGAGTCCTTGTTCTGGGGCGAGCTGAGAAATGGCGACATCATCACTGTCTGGCGCAATGATTCGAAAGTCCCGGGAGCCAAGAAACACACCCGACTCAGATTTGAGTGCTTCTGGGGCAAGTCGATGGAGGTCCGAAAGGAGCCGTTCCACATCATCGAAGAGGGCGCGTTCCTGGACGAGCTGGAGGAGGCCTGCCTGATCCAAGAGGGAGCGATCATCAATGAAAACAAGCACCGCCGAGCCGAGGACATGAAGGTACTGCAGCGCGAGAAGGAAGAGAAATCGGCTCGTCAGAACGAGAAGGCGATTAAATTCGAATCCTCATTCAGCGGCGCCCCATCTACCGAGTAATCGCATCTGCCAACAATCACTGACACTCTGGCACCAAGCACCGACACGTCACCATATTGTACGAATGGAAAAAAAAAAATCCTTCTTGCTACTTTGAGACTTTTACACTACACTACCACTTTGCATGCATACAGGAGCGAATGGGCAGATCTGGCGGATCTTTGAGAGAACGATTTTCTTTTTTCTTTGCTCAAGGGCGGCGAGGTTGAAAACTTTTCACGGATCATCAGGGCTGGCTTGCATATGGAGTTTTGAGACTGGGCGAGATGGGCCTCGGGACTGGACTGGACTGAGCTGAGCGGATGGGATCGGATTGCTTTGGACAGACTTGTCACATTGCTAGCATAGCATAGAACGAATTAAGAACACCCATTAAATAATGTCGGGGGCGGGGGGTGGTTAGCACTCTATATAGAGAAAGGGTATGTTCGTGAACTGGCTGTCATGTGATGTGATATGATGTGATGTAATGTGCGGTATCAAATATTTACTGACTCCAGTCTTGATAAATGATAAGTATTATTAGCTACTCGGTACAGGTTGATCGTTCTTGATGTTTTTAGTCTTTTTAGTCTTTTAGTCTTTTTTTTATTTATTTATAGTTTTTTTGTTGCACGTCGTATCTATTTGGCATATGCTTGAACCCGCTGTCTCTCCTTCGCTCTCTGTGCGCGTGTGTGTATGTGCGTGTGGCGTTTTTTCCATACCTGTCGTCTGTCTAAGGTATGCAGGGTTGCCTCGTGGTGCTCATTTCATTCACGGCCACGTTTCATGTTTTTCTGAGGTGGGTCACGGGTCTGGTTGTTGCTTGGCATTTGTTCTTTTTTTTTTTGAGTTTTTGAGTTTTTTGGGGGGGTTGGGGGGGGGGGGATGGGGATGGGGATGGGGGGGAGAATGGGGATGGGATGGGGAGGGAGGGCTCGCTCACGACGCACCGCTGCGAGCGATGCTTCCCGTCTGGAATGAGAGGGAGCATGCGTGTGTATCGCTATCGGGATGGCTCGTGCAAAGACGAGAGAGGTCGGTCGGGATACGCGGGCTGATTGTATCATTGCTCGCATGGTTTGAATGAGTCAATCAATAATTTATTTATGATATCCTTTTTTTTTTGTGGGGGTGGGGGGGGGGGGGGGGGGGGGGGGTTGTCGCTCGCTTACAAGATAATAACAATAATAATAATAGCAACAACAACAACCACCAACCACCAACAGCCGATAATGGGCGAAGCGAGTCACGAACGGGAAACTGGAATGGGGAATTCCTTCGCCCTCATCCACCCCTTTTTATTTCCATTACCGCGCCGTGGCGGAGGCTAGAAGGAAGCTTATCGATGGTATATATACTGCACCATTGACGGTCTCACTGCATGAGAACGAGAGGGTGTGCTTGAAAGGGGGCTGGGCTTGGCTTGGCCGGGGGGCTGCTTGTAACTACTACGTAGTTAGGTAGGTAGGTGGGTATACTCATGCTACTTATACTATGCTTACCTTAGCTATGCTTAGCTATGCTTAGCTATGCCTAGCCAGAGTGAGCCAAAGTGGGACAACCACACCCTTCTGAAGACCTCTTCTCTTCTCCTCTCTTTCCCCCTCTTTCCCTCGCTGGCAATGCAATGCTAATACCATCTACCCCATCTTCCCCTCTCGGAAAGTCGCTGGATGGAAAACCTTGCTGGAGGGACGATTTAGTCAATTCGGTTCGGGAGATGGGGATAGGTACGCTGAGGTATTACGATGTGATGTGATGAGATGTGATGTGATGTGATCTGGGGTGATGTGATGTAGAAGGGTTGTGAAGGTGATAGATAGATGAAGAGGGGGAGGGTGGGTGGTGTGCGGTCTGGTCTGGTCTGGTATCGTATCGTGTGGTCTGGAGTGCAGTGGAATGGAGTATAGGTATTAGTGTGTTCGCTTATTAGCTTCGTCTGGCGTGGCTTGGCTTGAGTAAGGCGGACGTAGAGCGTGAAGATAGATAGATAGATAGATAGATAGATTGATTGATAGATAGATAGATAGAAAGGAGCAGGCTATAAAGGACCATAAAAGACTATGGAGGAGTGAGAAAGTCAAAAGATCCGTGCTCCGTATGGATTCTGTGGATGGGTACACAAGGTAGGAGGATGAAAAGGGTAGGTGCGCCATGGGGTGTAGAGCTACTTTTTGTTTGGTGGCTTGGATACTGACTGACCTGACCTTACTGGCTTTCAGGACAAGGCGGTTTCTCGATTCGATTGGATATAGCTGAGTTGTTGTGGTTGTTGCTGGATCGATGCTTTTACGTAGTAGATATTATGCATAGTATCAAGCCATAGATGAATAGGATCTGGATAGAGCTGGGTCTGATAGAAGTTGCAGGTGCCAGCTGGAGGCTGGGAATGGATCAAACAAACTCTTCAGTGACGAGACTCCAAGAACACCGTCGAAACTAAGAAATAGCTTGGCCATCGAAGTCCGGTCTCACATTCTCATGTAATCTTCGCGCTCCTCTACTGTACTACCGGAGAAGATCTACATGAACCCTTTCCCGTAGATCTTCTCGCCGAGGATCCGCAACGTCATCGGCATCATGGGATCCTTGTAATGCTCAGTGATATCCGACTTCTCCACCGCACAGCTGATATCCGCCCACGAGTCCCCGTCCGTCGCCGCACGCTCACACAGCGCCCTCTTCTCCTTGCTCCACCACCCGGGCAGGATCCCCTTTCGCTTCTCGGCCATGTCCAGGAACTCTCTAAAGTCCGCGAGAGGATCCTCTCCGCCGTACAGGCCCCGCGCCTCCCCGGCGTACTTGTACTCGTCCTCGACCCGCAGGCGGTAGCAGTCGATCAACTGATCGAAGGCCTCTTTTTCAGGAAGCAGGTGCAGGTGGTCGTTGCCCGAGAGGCCCAGCAGGCCGTTCATGGCGTGGAAACCCGGGTTGTGCTGATCGGCGGCGGGCTTGGGCTTGGGCTGCTTGCCGCAGACCTTCTTGTGCGCCGTCTTCCAGTCTGCCTTCTGGCAATCGACCGAGCAGTACTGCGTCTTCTTGCACTTGGCGCAGTGCTTGAGGGGAGCGGGGAGCTCGGACTGGGTTTTGTGGCAGGTTGCGCACGCGGCTGGGAAGGTTTCGGCTTCAGGGGAGGAGTCAGAGGAGGAGGAGATCCAGTCGGCGTCTTCGCATGAGGCGTTCATGTTTGATCGTGGACAGATTATCGCTCGAAGGATGTTTGGTTTGGCTGATTGCGGAAGATGTATTGGTGTTCCTAGGTGGTGTGTGAGACTTTAATGCAGACGTGGTGCTTTCGCGCTAGTACGCGATAAAACGTGACTTTGAAAGAGCGCAAAAGTGTAAACGAAGAACGTAGATAATTCCGAACATAGGTCTTGGAGTACGAAAGTAAGCTTGAATGACAAATTATGAGATCTTGCGGCGTTTAAGGTATCGTTTCTAAGTGCATGCGATCTAGAATTGCATATACGGCGTGAATGCCAGCTTCGAATGCGCTCATTCATAGCAGAGGCGCGGCAGCTGCTTTCTCCAGAAAGCGCCGGGAAAGCGCTGAGTTTATAGCTCACGGTTTGAACTTTACCTCGCTTGTGGTTGTCAACAAAAGATCAATATGGCAGGATATTGAGGATAAGGGTTCGTAATATTTTCACGGGCAGAGAGACACCCGCGCTCTCTCAGGGGCCATAAGTAACAGCGTCAACATTGCCCCACTCCAGTCATAGAGTCGGCCCAACTTAACCCCGCCAAACCCCCACCAAGAAATCTCCCTTGGAACGACCAAGCACGTTTGAACGTCTAGACACGGCCAAAAGCCGGCGCACATCATTCAGACGATACTTAAAAACGAGAGGAAATCCAAGAGGCTTCCAAAATGTCTCCAGCAGCTATCATCGCGCCCTCCATCTTGTCTGCGGATTTCGCGGACCTGGGAAAGGAATGCTCGAGTACGATTGCAAGAGGGGCGGATTGGCTTCACATTGGTATATATCATCTGCCAACACTCTGCGAGAGAGACAGGTGCTCATGGGAATGCAGACATAATGGACGGCCACTTTGTGCCCAATATCACATTCGGCGCACCAGTCGTAACGAAGATCCGAAGCCATGTGGACAAACCAACCGCGAAGCATGGGAAAGGAACATTCGATTGCCACATGATGATTGCAGAGGTAGCCCCCCTCTTACGTGTGGTCAAGGCATCGGGAGCTGATGTAGCTGTGCATAGCCAAAGAAATGGGTCAAGGAGTTCCAAAACGCGGGCTGTGATCTCTACTGCTTCCACTATGAAGCCGCTGTCAACAGTACCGCAGCCGAGAGCCCCGAGACGACGAGCGATGCCAAGACAAGTCCGAAAGAGCTGATTAGATATATTCACGACCTGGGCATGTTGGCGGGTATTGCGATCAAGCCGGATACGCCTGTGGATGTGCTGTGGGACATTTTGGAGTCGAAGGATGCTCAGGAGGTCCCGGATGTGAGATTGCCCTACTGACCCCTGGGCCATCTCTTCCTACTGATGCTCTGTGCAGATGGTCCTGGTCATGACGGTCCAGCCTGGATTCGGTGGGCAGAAGTTTATGGCTTCGGAGTTACCCAAGGTGACTGAGCTGCGGAAACGATACCCGGATCTGAATATCGAGGTGGACGGTGGGCTAGGCCCGGGCACGATTGACCAGGCTGCTGACGCGGGTGCGAATGTCATCGTTGCTGGGAGTGCGGTGTTTGGTGCGAAGGATCCAGCGGATGTTATTGCGAAGTTACGGGAGGCTGTCGAGCGGCGAAGAGGCAATGCGTCGTAGTGAGGGAAGGGTAGGACTGGGAACCTCTTTTGATATTGCTGCCGCTCGCTCCAGACGGTGATTGTTTCACGAGGCGTTCAGCGGGCATTGGACAGTCCTATTCCCCCTATTCCCAGTGGCAGTGCGGTGTCTCTTCTTCCCGAAATCAAGTACCGGACTGTCTATGCTCTCTCTCTCTTCTTCTTCTCTCCATCCACCTCTCACACCTACACACCCTTTCTGCCATGTTCCTCAGGCCCACATCCAACCCCGACGCATCTCCGGTAATGTCTGCCTTTTCATTGGCTCGGCACCTCTTGGCCATCCTCTCGGCTGTGCGCCACAATGCGGGGTGAAGTTCCGGGGCAGATCTAACCCGAAAGAATGGCACCGGCCCCCGCCATCGGCATCTCCAGCTTGCGGCTCTTCTGCTCGTGCTGGTCTCCTTATATTCGAGAGTCCCGCGACTCGAATCGCATAGTCTCTCCATGCCCCCTCGCCCACCTCGCCCACTTCTCCAACCTCTTCAACCTCTCCAACCTCTTCTACCGCTCCCACCGCTCCATCTCCAAGTGTTTGCGCGTTCTTGATCTATGCAATCTATCCATTCATACATCGGCATCTAACTTACAACGTTACCCTCAACCCCTCAAAGAGCTGACTCCCGAGATCCCCCATTCCTGCAGAAAAACCTACCCCATACAGTCAGTATCGACGGAGATATGTCCATCGCCGAACTCGTCCTCACCCCCTACGCCATCCCGGTCGCCCTCGTGCTCTTCTGGCTCGTCCCATACCTCACCTCGAATACGGAACTGAGAGATATCCCAGGTCCAACCGCGGCCAAATTCTCGAATCTGTGGTTGCTGTTGCAAGCTCGGCTGGGACACCGGTATTTGAGCGTCAATGAGGCCCACCAGAAATGGGGAAAGCTGGTCAGGATCCAGCCCAACCATGTCAGTGTGGCAGATGAGTCGGCCATCTCAGAGATTTACGGTCACGGCAATGGCTTCCTGAAGTCGTAAGGAGCTCGAGGATGTTGTTGCTTCTGAACTGCGGATCTGACGGTCAACAGGGAATTCTACGATGCTTTCGTTTCTATCCAACGCGGGCTCTTCAACACCAGAGACAGAGCTGAGCACACCCGAAAGCGCAAGACTGTCTCGCACACTTTCTCGACCAAGAGCATCGGCCAGTTTGAAAAGTACATGCACCATAATCTCGAGCTCTTCGTGAAGCAATGGGACACGCTATCAACTAACGCCCATGGCGGCTTCGCCACGATCGACTGTCTGCATTGGTACAACTACCTTGCATTCGACATGATTGGAGATCTGGCGTTCGGACAGCCATTCGGTATGCTGGAGAAAGGAAAGGACATCACAGAGATCCAGAAGACGCCCGGTGCGCCCGTCTCCTACGCCCCTGCTGTCGAAGTTCTGAATCGACGTGGTGAAGTCTCGGGAACACTTGGATGCTTCCCCCAATTGAAGCCGTATGCAAAATACTTCCCAGACCCATTCTTTACTCAGGGTCTCGCTGCTGTGGAAAACCTGGCGGGTATCGCCGTCGCTCGAGTTTCCCAGCGTCTGGACGGCAAGCATGACGTTGATCGTGTGGACCTCCTCGCCAGATTGATGGAGGGCAAGGACGAGAACGGCAACAAGCTCGGTCGCTCAGAACTCACAGCCGAAGCCCTGACCCAACTCATCGCCGGCTCGGATACGACCTCCAACACTTCCTGCGCCATCCTGTACTGGGTTTGCAAGACTCCTGGCGTGCTTGAGAAGCTACGCACGGAGCTTGATGAGGCGATTCCTGAATCCATGGATGTTCCGACTTTCGAGTTGGTCAAGGACCTCCCGTACATGCATAACTGCATCCAGGAGACTCTGCGCATCCACTCCACCTCCTCGCTCGGTCTTCCCCGTGTGGTGCCTCCGGGGCCGGGAGTCACGATCGTAGGACACCATTTCCCCGCTCATACGGTCCTCTCCGTCCCTGCCTATACCATCCACCACTCCAAGGAGATCTGGGGCCCCGACGCCGACGAGTTCGTGCCTGACCGCTGGAACAAGCTCACCGACAGGCAAAAGGCCGGCTTCATTCCGTTCAGCTACGGACCGCGATCGTGTGTCGGCAGGAACGTGGCCGAGATGGAGCTCGCGTTGATCGTAGCAACGACATTTAGACGATATGATTTTGAACTGTACCAGGATACGCTGGAGACGAAAGAGGGGTTCTTGCGGAAGCCGGTGGAGTGCATGGTTGGTATCAAGAAGCGCAGTAATATCTAAGCTGGGACGGACATGCGCGGCCGGCCCTCAACTGTCGCTTTCATCTTAGGGATTTGACGGCTTATGGCTGGCTCGCTGGCTGGCTTTTGTGTATATTGTATATACTATAAATATGAAAAAATGCGTGCAATTAGTTCATTCTTTGAGTAGCTCAGGATATATCAGATGAGTGAGTATGGGATAAAGAGGTGTTGATTGAGGAAGAGGAGTGTTGGAAGACGCGATTCAGACTAGCGCAAGTGTATCTAGCTCAGCTTCGCTCCCCTCTTCTGAATACAACACCTCTTCCACCTTTATTTATTTATCCAACAGCATATCAATAAAGCAATCTCGACTTCGCGGTTTCTGATACCGGCTGAAAAAGAATTCCGGTCTAGAGATCATCGAAATTTGAGCAAAGGGGATTGACCTTCTAGCCTTTTCCGTGGTGGAATCGATGGGGGTTGTATGTTCCCTGTACTCTTTGACTAGCTACCGTGCGATTCTTTTACTCGTATATGAAACGATGTGTTACGACTTTGTTGTCAATCCCTGGAGGTGGTGGATCTATATCCATATATACCGAAGTGCTTTCCCAATTCTGTCCATCAGGATATTGGCACGCGGCCATAACAACAGCACAACTCCCGCCGGCATGGACGAACAGACAACACCGCTCAGCGATGACAGCCTTGAGGGTGCGATATCGTCGTCGGATATCCATTGGCCTCGCAAGGACAGCACTGCTCCCCCGGACGAGGCAGAATCGACAGCCATCCCAGAGAATGCCACGCCTTCTAGCACTCCAACCCAAATCTTTGCTGGTGACACGTCCTCTTCGGACCCAGGCTCGGCGATACCGGTTCAGGCAATCACACAGAATTCGAGACTCTTGCGCCTCCCGTCGGAGCTCCGGAGGGTGATCTGGAAATTCGTCTTTGAGACACCCCGCGTCGGCAGAGTCGGACACTTGACCGCCGGGTGACCTCAAGCGTGTCTACGCTGATCTGGGCTTGGAAGAAACCCTCCCGCCCGCAGACTGCAGTACCCGGACCTGAGCGCTCGGTGCTGGTCCAGGCAATCGAAAACCACAAGCGCCTCCATCTTGCTGCAGTCGAGCTACAGTACAGTACTTACTAGGCAACTGCTGTTGGCCACTTGAGCGAGAACATCAAAATCAAACATTAGACATCCAGCTATCGCTTCTCAATCACGCAATAATTACAAATCTAAGTTAAAAAAATAGATAAATAAAAAAAATATCCTATCTTATTTTTTTGGGACTCCCTTTACTCTTCTCCGTTTTCAAGCTAGTTATTCGAATGCGCACCGACTTTGCTACTTACTGTACGGTAGTATGCCAGCTTTCGGCCGGCCCGGCGATACAAGCTTCCATTCTATCCGGCATACTTTTCTGATACAGACTATCAATCAGCTGCAAATTTCGCATGGCTTATGGAAAGAAGGAGGGGGGGGGGGCGTGAGAGATGAAGAGCCGTGAGAGAGGAAAGGTCGTGAGAGAGGAAAGGTCGTGAGAGAGGAGGGGAGGGAAGGGGAGGGAGGAGGTAGTCATCAATAAACCAAGCTGAGTGATAAATACATACATAACCCACAGATAAAAATAATCAATCTACTTATCTTTTTTTTTAAAAGATATTTGGTACTGTACTGTTTCCCTCTCATCTTTCACGCGCAGATGTAATTCGACGGCGGTGGATTGCGCTTGGTTTGGTTTTATGGGCTGGGCTGGGCTGGGCTGAGTTGGGCGGAATTGGGCGGAGTTGGATGGTTGGTTGAGGTGAGGTGAGATGAGGTGAGGTGAGGTCGCATCGGAATCTCGCTTAAGTAAGTAAGCACATAAGCACGTACTTAGGTTAAGAGTGCCTGAATCGCTTTATTGATGTTGATATTCATGTCGATATTGATATTGATATTGCTATCGATATTAATTTTGATGGTTAGTTGGTTGGTTTACGGTCTTGGCGATCTACTGACTGGACCTACGGATAGGAGAGAGGGTGAAAGATATGCGGCTTTTTTGAATAATATATATATATATATATATATTTGGTAAGTATGAAGAGAAGTATCATTGTTTT